AAAAGAAAAAAAAACCTACACAATCAAAAAGAAAAAAAAAAAAAAAAAAAAAAAAAGATGGATTTGTGGTTAGCCACATTGCATTTTTTACCCCACTGGCATAACGCAGCAGATAGGTATAGCCGAGGTATAGCCGAGGTATAGCCGAGGTATAGCCGAGGTATGTTCTAAACAAGTCACCTAATCTCTCACTGAGTAACAGTCAAAGTGTTTGGAGGTGTCAAATATGTGCCAACATTCCAACTTCAAAAATACAATGCCAATGTGCGAATTATGATACATTAAAACCAATTTTTGTTTATAACCAAGTCTCGCTATTCTGTAGTCTACACCAGCTCAGTAGATTTTTATTTTTTTCTTACTTTATTTTAGCTCACCTATTTTGTATACAAGCTTTTTAGAGGTTATATAAAAAGGTTTTTGGTTAATATGCAATTAACTTTATACATAGGGTGAATAGCACTGCAATTACACTCACACCCCCCCCCATTAAAAAATTAAATAAAATAGGAGGTTCATTGCTGAATGTTGCCATCTGGTAAACATTTGGGTAAATCTTCCTTGTCAATGTGCTTTAAAAATACACTGAATGACTCAGGTTTATGAAGCCGTGAATATATGATTCATGGCACAAATATGCCCCCATAATATTCCAAAGTCCAAAAATCATAAAAATCAAAACCTCACAATATCTTGCTTTTGTAAAAAAAAAAAGTTTCCAGCTTTTCCCACTAACCTCTTGGCAGATCATTTCCACTTGGGTCACAGGAATAAGGAGGGGGTGGAAGAGGAACTGTGCAGTCTCCCATTTCACCAGATCCAGGGGGAGCTGTTCAAAAGATAAATGTGAATTGCAAATGGCATACATTAAAGTACAATTCTACTGGCTTCTCTGATGTAATCAACAGGTTAGTGCATTCCTTCAGGAGCCTTTTTTTTGGGTTGTCCCGCAAGAGTTAGCCAGCAGATTATTCTCAGGAATCCTTCAAGTTGGTGGTTAAGAGACAAGAACTCAAGGAGGCTAAAAATCCAGCCGCTGATCTCTCCTCTGGACCCGGAAGTGATGTGCATTACATCACTTCCTGTGTCACTGTACACAGTCTCCAGCTCTTAGAGCCAGAAGAAGCTGATGAAGCAGATCTCTACTTCATCGGCTTCTGTGGGGTCCCTGGGTGACATTAGGGTTCTGAAACACTCCTGATGTCCATAAAGAGGACCTGTCATAATAAATTTGCTATTACATAGGGGGCTGGTTAGCCCCCTATGCAATAGCAATAAAACTGTTAAAAAAAAAAAAACACATAAAAATTTAACAAAAAAATAAAAAGATGCAAAAAAACTTTATAGTCTCTCCCCCCCCACCCCTGCGTGCACGCACATACAATGCAAACACACGTCGGATGTGCCTACGTGCAAAAACAAAACTTGCACTACACATTATATATCGTCGTGAGCGTCGTAGTGAGAGCAATAATTCTAGGCACATCACTGTTAGAGCTTAAGTAATGAGCCGTAAAAGCATCGCCTATGAGAAATTTCGGTTATTGTATTTTTTTGCGGTTTCACGGATGCACGCAATTTTAAGGCTTGACATGTTTGGTATCTATTTACCTGTAGTGACCCCGTCTTTTATATTTCACCCAAAAATTGGGCATTATATTCGGTTTGTGCCCTAAATTCAATTTTAGCGTATTTTATCCTAAAAATACTTGTTTGATAAACATTTGCGCAAATATCATGCGACATAAAAAATTGCACCCAGCATCTTTTTTATTCTACAGGGCCTCTGATTTCAGAAAATATATAATTGTTTGGGGGTTTGAAGCTGTTTTCTAGGCAAAAATTCTGATTTATCATGCATGTGCATATGTAAGAAATTGCTCCGGGCAGCAAGTGGTTAAAGTGATTTTCTGCACAACAACATTTTTAAATTAAAAATAAGTAGAATAAAAAATGGGTTACATAGTTATGGTATTTGGGGTTGAATAAAGACATACGTCCATCAAGTCCAACCCATATAGGTCCAAGCATCATCTCATTCTTAGGGATACTGGTATCCCTGGATATTACGGTCCCTCAAGAAATTGTCCAAACGTTTCTTGAACAATTTCTTGGTTAAATCTTGGTTGAGTAAAAAGGCCACATAGATCTTTACCAACTTCCCAAAACAATGTAATATTCTTATCAACCGCTTGCCGTCTGCCTGTTGTGAAAAAAACGGAGGGAAGGTATACTCACATTGGCGGGTTGCAGTAAATGGACGGCTTTTTTTCTGCGCGCGCGTACACACACGGGCAGGAAAAACCTGTCCCATTACAAAACAGCCATTACCCGCTGGTACACATACAAGCGATCAGCGGCTCTATAGGAAGGGGGTTTAACACCGCGGACTTCAAGTGGTTAAGTATTCAGAAAACTTTACCTGGTCTTCCAGTGGGAGGTTGAGACATAATCATTGGCTGCACAGCAGTCTGTGGCAGGACAGTGGACGTGACAGTGGATGGACCCAATACAGAAGGGTTTGAAGAGATAACGGTTGCTGGTGCAGCATTTACACACGTGGTAGAACTAACAGATGTCACCTACAAAAGAGTAACAGTTGAGTGGGGTATGATGGAAAATATTTTGTTCAAATGGAAGAACACACGGTTACAGGTAAATCCCCCCCCCCCTCACCCCCCCCAAAAAGAAGACAAAAATAGCATTTGCCAATTTTCTCTGGAACAGAAATTGCAGAAACAAGGGTCACAGTATTATAGGTCACATGTATCATAACATGTGCAGTAACCATAACAAAAGAATATCAGAATGATGGCAAATATTTAACAGGAACACAAGGCCATTTTTCTCCACTTGGGAACCCATGAAAACTGCAAAAGTCTTAGTGGAGGGACTTTATATAGTACTGTACAGTGGATCTGTGACCAAAAACGTTTGCAGACTTTGACCGTCTTATTTCCTTTTGCCTCTGCTAGCGTTTCCAAACTGACTCAAGGATGTTGTTATCAAGACTGTGGCAGCAACAACTCATTCTTTTTATAGAAGATAGTTGTATGTAATTTTGGCTGTGTGTTTGGGGTCACTGTGCTTAAGAAATTGGGGTCAGTCAGATGCCTCACTTATAATACATTATGGGTGCAAATCTGCCTTTACATCTCAGCAGAGAGGGTGCCATCTATTCTGACTAAATCAATTCCCTTTGCTGAAATGCAACCGCGAACCTGCAATGAATGTTTACCTGCACTTCAATGTTGCTTGCTACTTGCAGACATTTAGGCTCCATGCACATTTTTTCTGTTTGTTGCAGTGATTACATGCATTAAATGAGTGTTGTGTTAATGAAGCCCTTTCATTAGGAGTTATCTGCAAATGCAATGGGCCAAAAAGTCAATTTCTCGGTAATACAGGGAACTAGAATGCACAGCCTGTGATGTTTCTAAATTGATGACCTGTAAAGTCTTTTTAAAAAGTGCCACCTATGGGCAATTTTGAAGCTTGACATGTTTGGTATCCATCCAGGTGACACAACCTAATATTTTTCATCTTTTACCAAAAAAACAAGCAAAACAAAAGGTTAATATATGGTGTTTGTGAGCATAAAAATGAATTACTATCACAGCCATGCCATATTTCCCCGAGCTTCACAGATTCCCAAAAACTTGGTTACTGCACAGGGGTTGATTGGTCTAAGCTGCAAAGTCAGCGGTTAGTCAGAGCTGTCATTAGAACACAGAGATGGCTCCAAGCAATCTTAGTGAGGTATGTACAGGGACTTCAATAGCTGATGTTCATGCATTAGATTTAAAAAATCAGTGTCAGCACATCTTTGCTCAAGATTTTGTTATGCGTTTAAAACAAATGTTTAGTTAGTATGTGGTAGTTTAGGTGTTGGAAATTATTGATCAGCATCCCTTTTTTTTTTTTTTTTACACCTAAAAGCTGAACATCTGACAAACTGCTAAAAATGATGCTGATTTCTTCAGCAAGGCATCCATCTTTCTGTCTATTGGGTCTTTAAGTTGACCCATGTTTTCGCAAGCGTTTAAGATTGCTTTAATACTTTAGCTAGAGAGGCATCTAGCTTTGAGCACTTTACTTGGAACCCTGCAGAGTCTTCTCTCAAAAGAAGGTTCCCATTCTGACTAAAGGAAAAACCAGTTTGTTCTCCGGTTCCATCCACCCTCTGAGAATCATGTTTCTCACTGAATGGTGTACCGGGAAACAAGGAATGATCTTCCCCTTCTAGGTCAGATAGATTTTCCAAATCCAATTAGTCTCTGGACATACTAGTCATTTTGAAAGCTAATGACTTAGTTGAGAAATGTGCAGATGTTGACGAGTGGGAGTAGTTTTGTGGTTTCATTGGTGAGGAAGGGGCCTATTAAATGCTTTTAGTACAGAATGGACAGACTGGAAACCCTCAGGAGACTTCCTGTCTCAGGGCTCCCAAAAGGTCTTGAAAATACCGAAGGTCTGAGACCCCATGACCTGGTCTAGATAGTAACAGTTTTTTCCCCCCAGAAACTGGAAAGAATAGAGTTGCAGTTTCATCATTCCCTCCTGTATTCTCCTGCTGGTCGGGTGGGGGGTGTTTGGAGGTGGGGGCTAGGACGACGACAAAATTACCTCTGCCCAAATTTCTAAAGATGGTGATGGATATGTGGAACAGTAAAAAGAAGACCCCCATCCCCTCTAGTCTGGAGAAGGGGGGGGGGGAAGAGATCCCCCCAGGTTCCCCAACAAAGGATTCCCCATACCAGTAACACACCACATGCCCAAAAGCTCAGCAAAGAGGTGCCCTGCTCCACAGAAGCTCTTATTTCTGGTTCTCCATGCTGAAGGGGAGTGTAAGAGGTCTCCCGCTGGCTGTAATCCTCTGGCCACACCTCCCTCAAGCAGACAACCACATCCAGTGCCTGAGGCTGCAGCGCATGTCTCCGCCAGACACACCAAGGACCTCCGCCTAAATATCAAGTGTCACATCTCTAATATAGGCCACCTTCCCTTCTTCTGATGCAACTTCCAGTCGCACTCCCACCCACAGTGTCAAGCAGCATGGGTTACCACAAGGAGAGGTAAAGAGCTCCTGCTCCTTAACACCACAGTCCCCACCAATCGAACCCCAAAAAGGCAGAGACAGCCGGCGCCACAAACAGGGGCAAAGATCCCAGGCAGCACTTAAGGAACTCAGCCCACCAAAGAGTGGCACCCCAACACTCCTTCCGACCACCATGTGCTGCAACACAATGTGCGATACCGCAGTACTGTTGCGTGCACTACTTTTTTCACTACAATGCAAGGTGTTGCGCTGCAGCACACGGGCAACAGGAAGTATATTGGAGTGTCATTCAGATGAATGAATGTAACGCAGTGTTACATGCATTGTGGCACACTGCAAAGCATGTGCATTGCCTTAGTGTTTTGGAATGCTGTGTAAAATGAACCCAAAAGGCCCAAGAGATAGGTTTATGTTAACACTAACATTACCAATTACTGCCTCCCTTTACCGATCTCTTGGGCAAAAACAACTGTCTTTTCCCCCTATTCTCCCCTCCACCAGGTGCCATTACAACATTTCAATAGGGAAGATAGATGTTCCTTTCTGCCAATTTAAACCAATTCCCTTTTTCTTAAGTTCTTAACCAGTATAGACTTTCCTTTCTATTTGTAATGTATAATTAATTACCTGTTCTGAATACTTATATGGGGATAGGTCATCTTGAGAAGGTACAGCCCGAGCCATATCATCTTGAAGGGACTAAGAAAAAACAAAAAAATATATAAAATTTTGTTTGGGGCTGCAGACAAAATTATTCTGCATGCAAAATAGTGGGGTTGTAAGGAATGTGCAGAACATTAACAATCCTATGAAACAAAGATTAGTTCAGAAAATTCATATAAAAGTTCCACTTTCTAGCAAAAGCAATTCCCCCAACACATCAGTCCCTAATTAGTTACTTTATTTTTTTATCAGATCAGGCAAATCTCATTTGAAAAAACAAGGCTTTTGCATTTTTCTCTTTTTTCAACCGCAACATTTAATAAAAAGTATAAGAAAAGAAAAAAAAAAAAGTACAATGTGATTCACATTTGTCAAGTCTACATATACACATTGACAAGATATAAAAAAGGTAGGATATATCCACATATAAATTAGATCACAAATTGCACATGTAGGTCAACAGGATCATGTAACAATGATGGCATTCCTGGTCACAGTACCATATATTATAATATATTAGATGGTTAAAGGGCATAGTCCAGGTTCAAAGGGTAGCAGGTTAATATCACAAATCAATCAGTGGAGGGCATCATGGAGGGGATCATGATGCCCTCCACTGATTGATTTGTGATATCATATATTGTGATATTGCCCAGTTGCGCCACCCTAAGGCGCAATCATCCTGTGAACAGGTTACAGCTGAACAGTGTTCCATATTATATTCACAAAGATTCAGGGCTCTCAGAAGACTCAGTAGATACACCAAAGTAACAGAAGCATTTTCCATGCCAGCTGTATCTTAAATAAGTTTAATTGACTTGAGGAATGCTTTAATCCTACATGATACATATAATCATATAAAACACATTACATACAGATCATGTAAGCCAAAAATAAAACAAACAACCCTATAAAAGAAAGCATTTCTGGGTTGCAATTTGACTATTTTCTTGCAAAAGCATAAGGCATAGAAGAGAGAAAAGTAATGGAATAATGGATACCAAGTTCTGAGTGGATTCTGTCACACTATACAAAGAGGAGTTCTCAAATGCCCCATCTGAAAAGAAAAAAAAAATGTTTCCAAAAAACAGAAAATCATAGTACACAAAGCATACAAAATGCATGTTTGCTTTCATAAAACATTAAAAAGTACTTAACAGCCAAGAAATAAGAAAGCATTAAGGTGCCCATAAACCTATTTATTATCGTTCGGGAAATCGTCCACGAATGGTCTTTTGAACAATAATCAGTTGATGGGAACCCAGGGATTTTTAAATATTGTACTCCTGACCGAATTTCCTTGAATCTCGTCAGGCTAGAAACATTTTTTCGAAATCGAACGAAAAAAAATCGATTAGTGGTGTTTCCGTAAAGAGGGGAAAAAATAAATAAAATTGCAACATGAACACTGCACATGCGCAAGCGAAAATCCATTCTGACGATCAACAAAATTTGGTGAATTAGTATTGCTAACTAATGATAAATCGAAATAGACATTGGTCTGTGAATGATGGGGTATTAGAGTGGAAATTGAGCGAAGGTTCGATGAGGGCATGTCCAAAAAAAAAAAAAATCTAACGAGCATTGATAGGTGTATGGCAAGCTTTATGTTACAATGCTGTATTAAGAAAACCAACTTGCTGTACATATTACTTGCAGTGCGGGGTGGTGAGCAAGCAAGAAAAAAAACATTATGGTTACGGTTTCTTCCCACCGAAATCATGCACTCCTGAGCAGGACGTGCTGCCGAGACCCTGCAGGGGAGTAACTGAACAGGGAGGGGTAGACTGAGGATCATGCGGGTGACCCTCCCTTCTGCAGCATTTTTTTAATTTTACAGAAAAGGTGTCCATCTATTAAAAGTTACCACTTTCCAGTCAGTGTTTGGTGGAAGCTCGAAGGTCTATAACGGCTTGTACACTAGTGGCTTTAATAATATATGGCTACTACTTGTATTGTTTACGGTTCAGTAGGCAGAACCCAACAAAAAGTAATAAATGAGGATTCACTGGCAAAAGACACCATTGCAATGCACCACATTGTCACAACACACAAATGCACATTGCACATTATGTACAATTCCAAGCTGACATTCATTTGGAATCACACTCCAACAGACAGGCAACATAACACTGAAGCACATGTGAAGCAGCACATCACAATGCACTACTGTACATTGTAGTGTGTTCCAGCACCGAAAAAAAAAAAAAAGTCCATTCCTGTTTTCTTGTGTATTGGCAGCCCATTAAAAATGAATAGGCTGCCTTAAGACAACACATTAACAAGTGACAATGCGCGTTAACATAGCTAAATAAACCCCTAACAAGTGACAATGCGCGTTAACATAGCTAAATAAACCCCTAACAAGTGACAATGCGCGTTAACATAGCTAAATAAACCCCTAACAAGTGACAATGCGCGTTAACATAGCTAAATAAACCCCTAACAGAAGCAGGTTTGAAAAAGGGGTGCAGAGTGAGTGGGTCATTTCTTTGGAATCTTCAATATGTGAACACCATTACAGGTTTATGCTGAATAGTGTTCAGAACCATTGCTCAACAGGCCCACAAGCTGTAGCTGTCCAAGTATTACTAGCCACAGACCTGTTTCAAGGCATAATGAACAATTTTAATTTATTTAGGTTCCTAGGTACTTAAAATTAGAGTGTGTGTACTTTGCAATGTCCTTTCTACAAGGCTCTACAGAGTTATACTTTGGGTGGAATTGATCATCCTTTCAAGCCTCTGCTGCTTTGATAAACAAGAATAGTTTTAGGGTCAAGAGTAGAGATGCACAGATAGTAATCGGTGCGGATAGAGTATTTGGGTGAGTACTCATGCTATCCCAAATGCTACAACATCTTCCCTGATACCGGAACCCCTGGTCAGAGGGAGATTCTCTGATCAGCAGTGCCACAAGGAACATGGCGCTGGCTTCCCGGCCAACCAGGAAGTAGGGCGGCAGGTCATGACCCTCCTCCCCGATCGGTGGCTTCCTAGCCAAATCAACATCAAGGCGGCTAATCAGCTGGCTTAATAGGGATTGGCTGGGAAGCCAGCTTCACGGCCAATCAGCATGGAGCCGGCTTCCTGGGCAATTAAGAAGCCGGGCAGCAGGTAATGACACACCACCTGGCTTCCCGATTGCCCGGGGGAAGCCGGCTCCATGCTAGCGAAGTACCGGTATTGGCGAGTAGTGAACGATAAATATATCGGTACTCTACACTGAAAAACGGTATCAGTGCATCCCTAGTCAGAGAGTGCAAGATTTAAAAATGCACACCAAGGTAAACAACTTTCAAAGTTCAGGTAACTAAGTTTTATACTAACCTGAAGTATAAATGAAATCTCCATGATATTCTCCTGCAAAATGAACAGCAAATGTATTACAAGAACATGTGTAATTTCAAAAGGACAACATATACTTTGTTCTGATACATGGCAAACAAGTCATAATAATTGGCCTATAGAAATTTTAGAATATGACACCATATTATACAATAACTTACGCAGCACTGGCAGATGTATGCATTGCATAAAGATAGCATGCATCTTTTTTTGTTTCAAAGTTTTTATTGGGTTATAACAGTATATAGCATACAAAATACAGTAATCAATACTGAGGTGAATATTGCGGAGGAACATGGGAACGTTAGTCAGTCATTTTGGGTGGTTCAGAGTTGTGGTCTCAGGGTCACCAAGTTCTTTGGGACAGGAGAGTATCCAAAAGGTGGGAGAACAGCCTGGATAAGGTAATCCGAAGAGGTGTAGTCCAGAAAACAGTAGAAAAAAGGAGAAGGAGGAAGAGGGGTGGGGGGAGGCACTGGGTTTAGCGCTCAAGTCGTACAGGTCTATAGGGCTGAGAGACTAGCTGGAGCCAGGGAGGGGTGGGCGTGATCTATCCAAGGTTGCCAGATCTTGGTGAAAGTTTTGTTAGTGTCTGAAAGGATGCTGGTCAGTTTCTCGTTCAAACAAACATTTTTATCTGCCGGGTAACTTCACCAAAGGGTATAAATTGCTTTTTCCATGCTGAATCGATAGTTTGGCCGCTAGCAGGACATGTCTGGCTAGGCGATGTTGACTTTTTGTGAGGCCGGAGATTTGAGGTGTAGCAAGGCCAGCCATGGGTCCTTGCGGAGCTTCACTGAGAACAGACTATCCAGCAGGCGAAAGACTCTTGACCAAAATCTGGCAAGCATGGGGCACGACCACCACGTGTGGAGATCACCCGGTGATGGGCAGCCAACAGGATGGTGAGTGTAAGGGGTGAAGATGGGCCAATCTGGACGGTACCAGGTACCACTGTGTGAGGGACTTAAGGCAGTTTCCATAGAGGAGATGTTGATTGAGCAAGTGGCCACGGAAGGTCCAGATGTGTTGCCAAGTTTCCAGCGGTTGTGAGGTTCCAAGGTCTCGCTCCCATCTCCTAACGTAGGAGTGTCTGGAAGGGGAGGTCAACGTGTTAAGTTGGGTATAGATCTGTGAGACCAGGTTGGGACTATATGGGTTGCGTTTACAGGTGTGTTCAAATACTGTGAGGCCCGCCCGAGTTGAGGACAGTGCGAGCGAAGATGTTGCCCAATGACGTATTTAAAAGATACCTGAAAAATTCAGGAGGGAGGGGCTCCCTTCGTGTCCTTGTAATAGTCCCATCGGCGGACCGACCCGTCAGCCAGCAGGTCATAGAGGTATGTTAACCCTTTGGAGGACCACCAAGTGAAGGCCAGGGGCGAGTCGAGGCCCGGGGGGAATAGAGGGTTGCCCAGTATGGTGAGTAACGGGAGGTGTGGAGATTGAAAGCTACTGGAGTATCTGGTAGAATCCCATAGGGAGAAGTTGTGGGCCAATATGGGGCTCAGAGAGAGAGCGGAGGCTGAGGGGTAACCAGGGTAGGGAGCAGAAAAGAGTATGGTTTACATGACGCTGCCTCCAGGTCTACCCATAGTGGGTTACCATGGGACTGAAAAAAAAAAAAGACTATGGAGGCGATATGTGCCGCTAAGTAATATTTATGGAAGTGAGGGAGGCCTAGGCCTCCGTCACGTTTGTGGGTGTGTAAGGTGAATCTGGATACCCTGTGGCATTTTGTACCCCAGACGAAGGACACAATCCAGGCCTGGAACCACTCCAGGGCTTTGCGGGGGATAGGAATGGGCAAGGTGCGGAAAAGGTATAGCAATTTTGGGAGGATAGTCATCTTGACTGCATTTATTTTGCCCATCCAGGAAAGGTTGTGCCGTGTCCAGGAGGACAAGAGGTCCTTAAGGGTGCTAAAGAGCAGAGGGTAATTGGCGGCGTAAAGAGTATCGTAGGTGTTGGAGATGTTCACACGAAGATATTTTAGGTGTGAAGTGTGCCATTTAAATTGGAAGTTGTGGCTAAGGTCGGATACCTGCCGGGGTGTCAGTGTGATGTTGAGCGCGCAGGATTTGTCATTATTGACCATTAGATTAGAGACTTGGGCAAATGAGTGTAAGAGTGAGGATAGGTTAGGGAGGGAGGGAGATGATGGGTTGAGAAAGGGTGAGTAATATGTCGTCCGTGAACATATGGAGTTTATAGCCTGCTGCTCCTTTGGCGATACCGTGGATATTGGGGTTAGTTTGAATTAGCCATTGAGCCTTTAGCCCACCTAAGAGGAAAAGAAGGGGTGAGGGGGCATCCCTGACAAGTACCACCTAGAATATATATAGAGGATATAGAGGCGGCTGGTTTTTCCGGCGGCTGGTTTTTCCGGCGGCTGGTTTTTCCGGCGGCTGGTTTTTCCGGCGGCTGGTTTTTCCGGCGGCTGGACCATGGCGGTGCCGGAGATTTAGGGGAGTCAGACGGTAAAATTGGGAGTAGATGGGGGGGTGAGGTGATCGTTGTGATAAAAGTCACACGCCCAGGTCGTGCGGAGCCGAGTCAGCAGGCGTCCATGCTGTTCGGCTGCTCGCTAGCGTCCCGATAGCATGCATCTTTAAATCTCTGCAGTCAGACTGAACAGTTTGATCACAGACAATAAATGTTACAATTCGGAATGAAAAAACATTTGCAGAAAAAAAAATAGGATTTTGGTACTCACCGTAAAATCCTTTTCTCTCCGTTCATTGAAGGACACAGGGAACAGATCGGAGATCATGTACTGTAGGGTAATAACCCCGACTCGTCGTCTACTACCAGACTCCGCCTGAGAGGAGTCCCCCTGGTCGGGCTGTGCGGCCGCAGTAGAAATTTCCCCCTCTTCCGCAGAATCCCCAGAAAAGACCGATGAGGGGGCCGGCAAAGCGCGCTTCCGTGGGGCACGCTCCATACAGGACACAAAACTGTCCATGGTGGAGGAAAAGGCCTCCAAGGATAGCATTATCAATGAAAGGGAGAGAAAAAAGCTTAACAGTCTTCACAAAATGTTCTTTGGAAGACCAAGTAAAATTCCTATTCAACTATATACTATTTATATTGAACATATGTTCGATTTACAAAATTGTAAAAACAGCCCTGAATAGATAAACGTCTCACACAACAGACCATGTGTGTTAACTTACACTTGGGCTGCCGGAGCAACTGTAGGTCTTGTTTTGTCTAATCTTTTCTGCACAGTTATAAAAACACAATAAAGAGCATCAGACTAGGCAAGCATCTATAAAGCTTTGAGTGGTCTGTACTTTGCTACCGATATACTTTAATAATTCCTCCCACCCGCCTAAATAGATCCCACCTGTTCAAATATATACTTTTCTCCCAGTTCCAGCAGTATCCTGGCCCAGCACTACACAGCCTTTATAAATCAAAATAACCTTGCAAGTCCTCTTAACGGTGCACAAGTGCTGCAGTACGGATCAACCCTAAGATTTAATGGGGGCAGGGTACATACACAAAGCAAGAAGAGGAATCAGCAGGGATGTTTTCATTTCATTCAAAAGATGTGTGACGTTCCATAGCAAAGTGCAGCATGATCCCAACAAAATTCCGCTAATTCTTAACATTAAGATCAAAATCCATTTACCATAGTACATAGAAGACTTCAAATATTAACATTAAACAACTGACCAAGACCACTTTGTGTAATGTTCTTACCATTGTCACTTGGCTCATCAATTTCATCTTCAGATGAATTCAGATTTGATTTGCCATGGCCAATAGGGTTAGGACTGCTCCTTGCAACCCAAAAACCTGTAGCAGGAACCATTGTGCTACCTTGATTCTAAAAACAAAAAAAAGACAAAAAGCATTAATTACTACAGGATACATTATAGCTAGGATTAAAATTATAACTTGGCACTTGGTACCAAATTCTCTACAGGAGTGATAAATTGGCAACCCTGGCATCACTTTAGATTTCAGCATCAAATATGTACCATTTAAGCAGGGTTGACAGAGACTTGGGATACCGTCTATGATAGAAGAGAAGAACTATTTGACAGTTATCTGCTGCTATATTGTGGGCATACCATGGCTCTTCTCAGGCTGAAAGCTGAAGCGACAATGGGAGACCTTAAACATCTCAGGCAAGTATGGTTAGATTTCTATATAGATATTAAAGAATGTAATATATTAAGCATTTAAAGACCAAATGCACCAGCAATCATTGGAAAGGGGCTTGAGATTTGCACTGGGCATTGGTATTCGTGTGCTGCCCATTTGTAGATATTGAAAATACTCAAACAGAAGCAGGGAGTAGGGCTTTAAAAAGGACTTGCAGGGCTCATGTTGACCAAGATTATATGGGAGAAGCTCAACAGCAAGTGCATGTGTACAAATTTAGTAAGTAATTCAATTTAGCCAGCATCTCACCAAAACTGAAGTAGCAGTTTATGCTGCTCTAACTTTAACCATTAAAAAGTTAAATTGACTCAATAAATCAAATTTCGTTAATTCAATTACCAGCTGTGTGTTGACACATACAGGCATAGTTGGGAAAGCCGTTTCATCTCCTTCCTCAATTTCATAATAAGTTATATTGTCTTCCAAGCCTCGCTGTTCGTCATCTCTGTCGGACATAAAGCCAAACTGACATTCTTTATTTACACATGGCATCTGCCTACGGCTCCGCGTATACGACCTGTAACAGAAACAACCACCTAAAAAAAATTGTGCTTGTCCATTTTACTACTTGTGAATAATTAAAAAAAAGTTTTCAAAGCAAATATTTCTGATCTGTTACATGAAACCATAACCCTGGGAGAAATACAACAAGCTATTAAACAGGCAAAACATTTTTGTGCCGTTATCCATTTACATTAGAAACCTGGTGGTTTGGTCCTCATTTTCTCTATATACTTCATAATCTTTATTCTGGCCCTCAGGCTCTGATTCACATGCAAAGTTATCTGATCTGGCCCAGTTTTTATTCATTAGGGTATAAGGCAGGGTTTGCCCCCCTTTGATTTTTGCTTTGGCAATTGAGCCCCTTGCAATACTGATTAGGGAAAATATAGAGGTTTAAAAGGGAGTCAGTTGCGGAGGACATGAACATAAATGTGCACTATCTGCGGACCATTTATTGTTATTCCTAACATTACCACCATCTCACATGAATTACTGTAAAGTATTCTAGATGGCTTTGCTGGGATTTTGGGTCTACAGGTTAACACTTCCAAGTCTGTGGATTTATATATAAATATCTCACAAGATCTATGGTCTTTCACATTCTCTTGGGAAACAGATTCTCGAATAAAGTCAAAATGACCCTTTTACCCACTTAAGCTACCGTATTTTAGAGCACTGCCAATTGGTCTTGTACGTGCAGACTTGCAGATATTCCATACAAAAACCTTCACCTTTATTTTAGGGGCAAAAAAAAAGGGCCTAGGCTATCAAACAATTCTCTACCTCTCCAAAAGGTAATTACTAACAATACCTTACTACCAAGCTTTCCAACTAGCCCAGTCCCTAACTGTTTACTCCCCAAGTCCCAGAGAAACTGGATAGGGTGTCTTTGGAAATTAAGGCTGCAGCTAATGTGCCAATTGCTCTCATAAAATGGCTATCCCCTCGACAAACCTGTTATTTTGGCCCTGACCCTTGCACATTTCATAGCCTTATGCGATAGATGTGGAAATCACACACTCCCCTTGCTTCACTCTTGTATACCTGTTTTTCCACCAGGCATGCAATCTCAACTCTTCCAGTGGTGATAGAATAAAGGGCTTTATAAAATAGGAGAATATTTCAAGCATGGGAAATCTATCACATTATCCTACTGTAAAGAGAAACTACATCAGTCTGAGTTGAGATTTCAATCAACTACATCATCATTTTCTGAAATAACACACCAATTAATATTGATAGTATTGATATCAACTTTAGATCTACCAAAACTATGTAATATAAGCCCCTAGTCTATACAATCAATCTGCATTTAATCAGGCAAGCCCTTGCACTACATAGTGGTTTGTACAATTTCCTTTAGATCTACCATCAGATTGTAAGGCGAGCTTTCGTGGATTTGCTGTGTGCTTCAGTTCATTTTTGTGCTGAAAAACCAATTTTCGGTTCATCTTCAACTTTTGATACATAGCTTTACATCATTATTAAGCACACTGACAAGATGTAGATGCTGTCTTGGGTTTTGCAAAAAATAGAAATACAATTGTCTGTTACCAAAGAATTCTTAAAATTGATCAGTCTTCTGCACATTGTTCCAAAAGGCCTGTTTTTTTATCTAGATGTTCAATATCGAAGTGTAGTCTTTCTCTAATGTTCTTTTTGGACAGCAAAGGCCTAACACACGTCTAGCGTAGGAATGAGGTCAAACCTCATGCAGGGTTTAACCAGAACTCAGGCTGTTTGCAGATTAGTGAACTACATAGGCTGTTCAACCACCTCCCCTAACGTGACTCTCCAGCTACAGTAGAGGTCAGCTTTCCGCTAAGGGCCTAGCAACCAAGGACTCATCACTGGCCCCATTCAGCCGCTAGCCAGGGGATTCCTTAGCCAACGGGTGACTGTTAACAAAGGGGCAGGGATCCTGGCTAATAGCATTGACCTAGGTGGGGCTGCAGTTTACAATGCCCAAGTTCAATAAAGTTGTATTTGCTTTGACATTCTCCTGCTTTTGCAGGAGAAACTGATTACCTACACCATATTAAACTTGATTTTATCAGGTGGTATATACTATAAGCAAGCTTGGACACACTTAGTCCCCCACAGTACTTACTCCTGTGAAAATCATGAATATCCCGTATTGGCAGATTATGCCAAGTTTTTCAATTTTTCAAAAGGCAAAAATACCCATCTAAGGATCATTTTCTACTGCATGATAAATTGCCATTTAATATGCTATATAAAATATTACCTTTCTATACCACTGCTGTTTCTCTTTTCTGTTGTATCCAATATATCTGACTAGGGTTGTGTTATTGCACAAGGGCAGAATTGATCCTTTGTACCAAAACAATTATGGTTTTAATTGCTTACCGTGTCCGATAAGTATAATTATCAAAACTCTGGTAACACCTCTTGCCTGGACTGTGGTAAAAAGGGATCTCTGGACTCATTATGGCATGTCTGTCAATATATCGAGGTGAAGACCTTTGAATATGAGAAACATAAAATGCATATGTACGCAAGTTACATTAACAAAAATTCACTCAAGTACAAACCAGGAATAAAAAAAAGTTATATTTCCCTTTTTTTTTAAAAAGGTTTTGTTTATTTTTTTTTAAAGACCTAAACATCTGAATGATCAAAATTACCAATTTGCTTCAGAGATCAAAAACCCTAAATTCATAATTCAAATATATGTAGTAAGGGGCAGTATTTTTGTTATCACTCTGCAGAAAATAATAATGTGATTTGGAAATACAGGTGCACCTTGCTGATTTTGTTTGAAGTCTAACTGGTTCCAGTAGTTTATCAAATTTAACTTTCTGTGCAATTTATGCCAGTAAGATAGATATAGAACTACCAAAGCTATGTTGTTTTCAGTTCCACTGCTGGTACATTTAAAGTTAAGCGGAACCTCAGCAAGCACGAATTTTAAATCTGGGATTTGGACAGAGTATGGTAGGGTTAGGACCTCTGCCAGGTATAGATTGGCATGCATCTCTCCATTCTTGCAGGGTAGACCATTTCCTCTCAGTTCCTCTGTGGTAATTGGAACATGAAGTCGAGGTTAAAAAATTTTTTAAAAAAACCTTGCCAGAGGATACAGCAATACTTTTGTTTAATAGCAGAATGATAGCAATAAAAAAAAAACACTTACAGAAGAAGATTCCATGTTAAATTATCCAAGTACATACACATATTTACTGCCCTGTCATGTGGTCTAAAAAAAAACAAAAAAACACAAAAGTAATCTTTACCAAGGTTCATATTATTGCAATTTGTTAATACCTACTTTGATATGCCAAATCCTCGGCTTTGACGACGTGGAGATTGGAGAGGTTGGAAGTGTTCATAAGATGTTATATTTGGTGGAGCCTGGAAGTGAATTAAATCAGATAGGAGAGGTTTGTGTTTTTGGCTTGGCATCGCCTTCATAGCTACATTCAAATTTGATTTATACAGACCTCTTTCCCACGTACTTTTTTGAATAGCCTCTTCCGGGATTTCAGATCAAGCTCTAAAAAAAAAAAAAAAAGGTTTCCTACTACATATTTTAAGGTCACAGTGACTGAACAAAAATACCCACCCAGATTTGTGCATTTTATTCTCATGTGTACACTGTTCCAGAAGCAGCTTAGCAATTTTAGAATACTTGCCCATTTAATATCTGGAAATCTCCCCTAGGATATTAAACATGATTCACAAAGCTTTCCAACCAGAAAGGTTTACACCTGCTTACAAGTACAATTTAACAGTGCTCCTGTCATGTTTTTTTTTTTCACTTCACATATACAACATGCCTCCCACAGCATGCATGCAGATTTACCAATGCTGCAACAATAGCATGTGGAGAGAAAAAAAACCCCTGTAAAATAATTTGCCTATACAGGAAGTCCTCGAGATACATACATCCGACTTACATACAACTTCTACTTACAAAAACGGAGGCCATTACTGTATAGCAGGGGTAGTTGTAATGCTACAGCGCTGACAAGAAGTGCCGGCCTTTTTGGGTCTGGTTTGTAGTACTGTACGTACATTACAGGAAATTAGCTCTCGTTAGAGGTGCAGACAAGGGGTGCCCACCTCTTCCGGGTCACTGAGGTTTTTACTAGTGTCTGTATCCTCATTAGAAAGATTTAATCTCACTTGCTGTCCTTGAGACAACAGGAAGTGAAAGGAAATCTACCCCTAGGAAGGGAAATTTACTCCTGTAAGTGATCATTGGAAAAAGATGTCTCCACTGAAGCTTTATCACCAAGCCTTGTTTCCACGACAACCCAACATTTTCAAAATCCAATTGCCACAGGGACAGAAAGTGAGGTGAAATCTTCTGAACAGGGGCACACATACTGCAAAACAAACTTTGCAGGGGGTAAACCCTTCCCTATGCCATCCAAAACAAAAACATTTTGGCTGGAGTTGCACTGAAAAAAATGTACCTGTTTCAACTTAAGACCAAACCTATAGTCCCTATCTTGTTCATAACTCGGGGACTGCCTGTAATCAGTGTCTATTGCATGCTCTTATTTTAGATGGAGAAATCTCAAATTATGCCAAACCCCTAAAAGGTATGATGCTTACTGAAAATGCTTTGTGAACCACAAGATCACAGCACAATTCAAGAAAATTGCATGTTAAACAAATGGATCCCAACTTTGGATTTTACAACATTCAAATTTGTCAGGCTCTGGCAAAAAACTCTATGCAAGTAAAACCATGTATAAAATGTGTATAGAGGAACAAAACCAGGAAACACATTAGAAATAAAGTACAAACCTAGGTCATTGTTGAAACCCGCAGGTATTTTCTGGTAGTTTGTACTTTTCCGATTAGTGGATGAATTCCAGGCAGGAACTGGAATCACTTGAGTCACCGGTTTTAAATGGGCAAGTGGCACAATGTGCCTGGGAAATAAAGAAAGGAAGTCATCCAAGGTATATGGATATTAAAGTGAAGTTTATGTAAGAGATCAAACAGGACACACACACACAATGCTATTTTATCATGGAGCAGTAGAAATAGCCTGATAGAAATCCAAAAACCCCATAAGCAGAGATGTCAAATCACCTCATTTAATCATTAAAAGTTACAGGTTTCAGTGGCCATCAAAGCTCTACTTTTATTTTTATCAACTGAACATATGTAATCTAGAAACATAAAAGGATAAACAACCCAGGCACTGGAGGTTTATCACAGTCATTCAATATGAAGGCCTCCAACGTTAGCAATGGCAACCACACACCTGAAACTAGCAAAGGGCTACTGTCCAGGGGCTTGGAGATATTGTGCTGCCATAGAAAAACAGCATAAACTGATAGCTTTTCTATACAAGCTAATTTTTAAAAGATGGGATGGAAAGCTGTGGGCTGCCATTACGTCCTCCTGGAACATCCATATGCATTTTAAGTGTTCGGAGAGAACAGCTTGTATGGTAACAGGCATCACTCCCTGTTTGACTTTAGGCAGTTTCCCGCTCACATGCGCAAGTGGGCGTACCTGGTGGGATGTTTAAATACGCCTGCTCAGACCCAGAAAGCCCCCGGCTGGGAGGCGGCTAAGGATAAGGAGCCCCTCAGAGTGCACAGGTGGAAAAGGAAGCTTTAGGTAATCATTAAGGACATAGATCAAGATGTGGGTTCTGTGCAGTAAACTTAACACTAAATACAGTATGGAATATGAACAACTTACTTCTCAGCAAGCTCTTCAATAAACACAGTTACAGAATTGCTGTCATGCCCAACTTCTTGGATATGGGCGTTATAGTATCGTCCACCAGGCTCTAAGCGTACCTATACAACAATTGCAAGCAGTAAAATGTTTTAAGTGCAACTGTATCATCATATAAAAAAATTCAGCAAAGCCCTCCCAACAAATAGTATAGAGCCTTATAGTCAAGTCTCAAATGCAGCCATCACCCATTTCACTGTCCTTGCCTGGGAAGTGGTAGGCAATGTTTTGTTTATATTTTATATTTATATTTACTTCCACCCGTATACTGGGATTAAACCAGAATCAGATGAAGTGCTCTCTGTGAAACTTCTCCCCTGATCCAGCAACCAACATGTGATAAACATCCAAACTCACCGGAACATTCTGACCATCAAATTGTAAATGGTCAAAATGTAGGCTACCTCTTTCTACTTGCGCTCCTCAACTTATCCAGAAGTTTTCTCCTCCTTCCGTCTCCACTTTTCACCAGCTCACTTCCGATCTTCACCGCCTTTCTCCACCACTAGTCATTTCAGATTGCGGCCTCTTGCTGCCTCTTTAGAAACAAACATCCCCAGAAACATTCAGTCCCAGGGGAGATTAAGTGAAAAATCCCATAGTGTTGGAAGTAGATAAAAACTTAAAGTATTAAATAGATAGGCGTCTGCATGCTGATGTCATTGCGCCTGCACAAGCAAACAATTATTGATACAGCAGGCACATAGTGACTTCCAGTGATTTTATGCGAGTGTTTTTAATTCTTTTCAATAAGTTTTTTTAATCTATTTAGTACACTATGGCATTTTTTTTACATAATTTCCCCTGAGATTGAATGTTTCTGAAGAGCATTTCTAATGAGGCAGCATTCTGAAAAAACTAGTGGTGGAGAAAGGCGGTGAAGATCAGAAGTGAGCTGGTGAAGAGTGGAGGACAGAAGGAGGAGAAAAGTTCTGGATAAGTTGAGGAGCGCATGATAAGTGGAGAGAGGTAGGCTACATTTGGCCATTTATAATTTTATGGTCAGAATGTTCCGGTGAGTGGGAAGTGTGGATGTTTATCACACGGTGGCCAGATCCAGGAAATGTTTCACATATTGCCCTTACTGCAAGGGTGGTAAATCCTGCATTTGAGGGCTATATGTACAATTCCTTTTTGTTGAAGAATTTATTTTTATATAGCACTGACAATTTACATACTGTACATTCACATCAGTCCCTGCCATCAAGAAGCTTACAATCTAAAGGCCCCCATTGCACACGAATACAGGGCCAATTTAGACAGGAGCCAATTAACCTTCCAGCATGTCTTTGGAGTGTGGAAGGAACCTGGAGGAAGCCCACAGGTACAACATGTAAATTCCTTGCAGATAGTGTCTTGACCTGAATTTGAACCAGGGACCCTCAGTGCTGCCAGGCAGAAATCTTAACCATTAAGCCACTGTGCTGACCATCATAAAGTGACAGTTACACTAAGCTAACAAAGCAATCTGCATTATTCACTCACCTGACATTTGTCCCCCAAACAATATTGCCTTCCTGCAAAGACCATATATTCAGTTTTCTGGAGTTCTGCGAAATCATAGAAAAAGAATAACTGATCAATGGAATGCTTAAATATAAAACAAATAAAAAGTGAAATGAAAAATATAAAAAGTGAAATATAAAAACAAATGAAAAGTGTAAGCCCATACCAAAAACACAAGAACCGGAATTCTCTAATACCTCTATTATAGGCAAGGATTTTATAAACACAATATAAGAAAACGATTGATCACAGGGCTTCCACTAAGTTAGCCACATGCTTACCTTTTCGACTGTCCAGCCAGACATCAAATTCTACATTCCTGTAGATTTCTGGGTCAAGTGCTTTTAACACTTTATATGGGAAAGGCATCTTGTTGGGATTTTCTGTTGTCTATAAAAATCATGTTAAATTTTAGATTTTCTGTAGCAGCTGATAATTACTAAAGTTAATTCTGACAAATGTCCCACAAAACATTCAAAAGAAAAAAAAACAAACACTATATTGCCAAAAGTATTGGGACGCTTGCCTTTACACGCACATGAACTTTAACGGCATCCCAGTCTTAGTCCGTAGGGTTCAATATTGAGTTGGCCCACCCTTTGCCGCTAGAACAGCTTCAACTCTTCTGGGAAGGCATCCACAAGGTTTAGGAGTGTGTCTATGGGAATGTTTGACCATTCTTCCAGAAGCGCATTTGCGAGGTCAGGTACTGATGTTGGACGAGAAGGCCTGGCTCGCATTCTCCGCTCCAATTCATCCCAAAGGTGTTCTATAGGGTTGAGGTCAGGACTCTGTGCAGGCCAGTCAAGTTCCTCCACCCCAAACTCGCTCATCCATGTCTTTATGGACCTTGCTTTGTGCACTGGTGTGCAGTCATGTTGAAACAGGAAGGGGCCATACCCAAACTGTTCCCACAAAGTTGGGAGCATGAAATTGTCCAAAATGTCTTGGTATGCTGATGCCTTAAGAGTTCCCTCCACTGGAACTAAGGGGTCAAGCCCAACCCCTGAAAAACAACCCCACACCATAAATCGCTCTTCCACCAAATTTTACACTTGGCACAATGCAGTCAGGCAAATACCGTTCTCCTGGCAACCGCCAAACCCAGACACGTCCATCGGATTGCCAGACAGAGAAGCGTGATTTGTCACTCCAGAGAACACGTCTCTACTTCTCTAGAATCCAGTGGTGGCGTGCTTTACATCACTGCATCTGATGCTTTGCATTGCACTTGGTGATGTAAGGCTTGATGCAGATGCTTGGCCATGGCCATGTAGCTATTGACTCTGCAGACAGTTGGCAACTTCCGTGCTTCAGCATGCTCTGACCCTGCTCTGTCATTTTACATGGCCTACCACATCGTGGCTGAGTTGCTGCTGTTCCCAGTTTCTTCCACTTTGTTATAATACTGCTTGACCGTGGAATATTTAATAGCAAGAAATTTCACAGAACACCTGAATCCAATGATTTGGGGTGTCCCAATACTTTTGGACTATATCTATATATGCATAAGACCTAATATGTAGTGATAAGGTATATAAATATATATTTAGATTTCCTTTAACACTACACCTATGTAGCTTTAACCTTTACAAGTGAGTTTTATTCTGACATATGGCTCCAGCAAAGCCAAAAAAACATTTAATGATACCTGATCATGACGCCTATGCACCTAATAGTTTGGAGTGTGAGAATTTGTGACCATTCAGGCAAAACAGCATTTGCAAGCTTGGGTATTTTTTGAACAGTACGACTTTTGACTTGTAAAAGGGGTGTCTTTTTTTATAAAAAGGTGTGGGGGGGTTAGAGGGGTGGCAGATGGTTGATCAACAGTTACCTTACCTTTGCTTCTTCTGCATTGCTCTTTAATTTCTCCTCTATTGAAGTCTCACCACCTTTCTTTTCCCAATCTTCTGTCCTGAAAGAACAAAATTAGTATGGGAAAATTAAAATTCTTTGAATTCTCACAGTTTCCCTGAAAAGAAGACACTGTTATATTTTTTTGGGCTCAAAAAAACCCACTAGGTCTTATTTTCGGGGTAGGTCCTTTTTTTATGTATAACTATCCAAAAGTTAATGCAAATCCAAATGAAATAATCCAAAATGGCAAAGTTAAGAATAGGGTGATCAGGGCAATCAGGGCTGCCATACCTTTCCTAGAGCAATTTGGTAACCAGCGAAGCACACTTTCACTATAGATTCCTCACAGGCAGAGTGCATTTGGTATAACTCCGCCTGTGACAGGAGTCGGCGCTTAGAGGAAACATCGGCTTATGTGGCTCTGCTCCCTGCACTGCCGCCTCGCTTCCTCTAGCGCTGCCTTCGTTGACACCGCTGATTCTCTACTCTTTAAGTTCCCCTTTATGCCACCACCGACCCTGGGAATAGTCACAACTAGGTCTTAATTTCGGGGTAGGTCTTATTTTCATTGTATATATATTCGGTATATATTTTATTGTACATCTGACCTAAATTTGAATTTAGGCAGATATAAAATAAATACATTTTTAAAATGCATGCAGTTCAAGTACCTGAATATGACCTGGTGGCATCCTCTTGCAATCCCTGCACATCCGTAGGAATAGTGCGATAGGAATATGCAGTACAAGGAGCCAATCCGCTCATGCGCTAACAAGAAGCATGTTTATAGAAAGAAAAAGCAGAGTAACAGAAAGATGAGCTCATCTCGGTGCTACTTATTTCCCTGTCCAGGCACAGACAGGACAGTTCGGTCAAGAAAGACTTAGGCCCAGAGAAAAATGGGTTGTATGATGTAAGACAGCAAGTGAGCCAGGAAACACACACACACACACACGCATCAAAGGCAAATATTGGAGTAATGAGCTATTCATTTTACCTTTTTGTATATTTTGCCTGAAGGTCTGCCTTTAAGTGATCTACCTGCTAGGTTTCATTAAAAAAAAAAAAAAAAAAAAAAACCACAAAAAAAAAGCCCCTTTTAGAGACCCACATCTTCTGCCACCAAATGGAAATGGCATCAGATATCAATGGACCAGACCAGTATATCCAAAAGCTGCATCAGTATTGAGGTCTAGATGTTAAAAAGATCTTGGATGTCAAACATTTTGTATCCAGGAGAAACACATGCCTACGGTGCCGTGCCTGCCTCTATTAGGTGCCATTCACACCAGAGCGACAGCCTTTTTTTTGAAGCACGTTTTTATACACGTTTCAGCAATGAAAAGCATTTAAAAAATACGCTAATCAGCGCATTTTCATTAAAGTCTATATGGAAGTTGTGCTGATCAGCGCTACAAAGGTAGCTTAGGGAGCATTTCGGGCGCCAGCCATATTGGAACTGCCCACATAGGAATGTATTGGATTTTAAATGTTGGCTTTTCAAAGTGGAAAAATCCATGCGATGAAACCGCTTGGTGTGAACGGGGCCTTAGCTCCTTTAGCTGCTAAAAACAAAGCTGCTCCCTATAACTGCTTTTCTGACATGGCATATTAACAGGAAGATAAAATGTTTTTCAGAAGTGGAGGGTAATTTCTCAGATGGAGTTCAAGATATCCCAGAACATAACACAATAAATGCTCCATTATGTATATAAAAGGCACCAAGCTTTAAACACAAAATCAACACTGTGTGTTTTAGTTTTTTGTATATGTCCTCAATAGTACCCGAAGAGATACCTGATGTCAGTTAATGTCTTGTTATAATCTGCTGTACAATCATAATTGGCATCTTCACTGCCAGTAGATGCACTGTTACGATTCTTTTTTGTGCCACTCCGAAAAAGCTCAACGGCTGCAATCAGTTCGCGCTCATCCACGCCAAACACATCTCTGTATAGGCACTCATAGAGAACAGCTATGAAATAAAGAGACAATAGACATATATCTCACAATTTTGTAAAAGCAAAATGGGTTCCTTTTAAATCAGTTTTTAATCTAATGTGTTTGAAACTAATAGATCTGCAGTCTGGACTGGAGACTAGTAAAATGGTAAATTAATCCTCTCTCGAGAACTTAATCAATTTAATCCCTTCTGAACAAGTAGGGGGTAACACATTTATTTAGGGGTCTATGGCAAAGGCTTTTACATCTTTCTCAAATGGTTTCACAAACATGGCCAATAAATTCTGAAGTACAACTTAAAATAAAATGGGCATCATAACTACAGTGCATAAAACATGCATACCTTGGCAAATTGCAGCAGTTGTTTGAAAATTTTTTGTAAACACTGAGTCATAGTGACCATTGGTGGAACAACACAACATTATCTGCAATACAAAAGAAAAACAAACTAGACAGCACCAAACAATACAAAACTAAATGGGTCATAACCAAGCACTAAACAATCCTTATTCACCAACAGGTGATGAAAGCACCAAGCAAAATGCTTAGCTACTTCTGATTAATTTTTTTTAAACAACCCTTAATTTATGATTGAAATGCATCTTCACTGCTGGTAATAAGATTCATTTTCAACCTTCTGGATCACCCAATGTATCTCGAAAAGCAGAATATTCTAACACACAGATTCTCCATGGGCAGAATAGTCCATGGCATTATATGTTCACATCTGTATGTCTTAGTCCAGGGTTAGGCAAACTCTAGCCCTCAAGCTGCTGTGGAACTACAAGTCCCATGTGTTATTGCAAGAATCTTGACAGCAAAAAGGCATGACTCTGGGAGGCAGATGGATAGGATTTGTAGTTCACCACAGCTTGAGGGCCAGCGTTTCCCTATCCCTGCCCTAGACTGTTACAAGCTGGTTCAATTGGTAGGGTGCAGGGATATCTAAATCTGAACAGTAAAGAAAAGTTGTATTGTCTAAAGCTACTAGAACATCTCTAGAAAAGACTCCACGTGGAAAAGCATGTGGACCAGACAGCAGCACTACTAAAAAAAACCTGGTATGCAATATGAGAATGAACTGGGATATTTACAGACTGAGATTTCTTCTAGGATAATAATGAAATGCCATCTATAAAATTGCAGTGATTTGAAGCACACAAGCAATAAATTAATCAAAAGGTTAGAGAAATATTGGGTTAGTCAAACATATATTATGTATGCACTTAAGCACTCCTACAGCTGTCAGTATGTCTACTGTTTGAGCCATCTGTGTTAGGTTTCATCCTGCAATAGGCAACTGCACCCTTATTAGCCAACTTGGTTTAATACTGTACACAATACTTTTCATTTGCACAAAGTAATTTATCAGGTCAAGATTCAGGGTCTACCCCCATATTCTCAGACTATTTCGCAATAGCAAAACCTGGAAAAAACTACATTTTATATTCTAATCTTCAGCTTTATTTTCTGGGCATTTTTCAGCAATTTTTCTACTCAACTGTCTAAAAGAGTTCAGTAGCTGGCACATAAGGCGTTCAAGAGATCATGCTCTTTACCAGCAAAATAAATACAAATAAGATACAGACCAGTTCACAGAGGTTTAGCAAAACTCAAAAACACAGAACAATTCAACAAGTAACTAAAAATCATTCTAGCAACTCAGCTGCTTAAAACAAAACTCAGTTTAAAAGTCTCAAAACAGTTAAAGCTGGGGAAAAAAAAAAACCACACACACACACACACACGTGGCATCGAAGGTCCCTTTTACACAGGCTGATTACAGCAGTAATCTCTGATACATCTGTTTCCCCGGGCCTGGCCAGAGGTAGGGGGAACCAGCTGTAAACAGACGCCCATTAAGCATCCGATTGAGTCCACCAGAAAAACTGACAGGCAGACCCAATCAGAGTGGCCTAATAGAGTAGACCATAACAGGAAGAGGTGGAACCTTGACCCCAAAGAAGTATCACCAAAACTCGAAAATCCTTGTTTAATGCCCCAAGGAACTCCATCCAAAATGTGTGCAGTGGTTTGGAAAAAAAATATTTTGCATTTGCTGGCTGTAGCTCCACCACTGACTGAAGCCATATTTAAGGGAATTCCTATGGATGAACTACAAACCGCACTGAAGCTACCTCCCCGCTTCAATCTGTAGTGCTCCATCTACTCTTCCAGCCCTGTACCACCTCTGCCACCTTCCTTGTACAGAAAAGTGACTTTGATGGACCAAAATTACTTAGATCAGACCTGCTTAACAGTGGCCACATATTTAGAGGAGAGAGTGTACAGTAGTAGCGGTTGGCTTGTTTATTGTGAATGATAGCAGGCTGGAGAGAAGAACAATCATTCACAAAAAAAACACAAGGCCACAACACCACACCCCAGCTATAACACTAGTGTAGCAGCTTGTTTATATTTTTGTAGGATTGTGCTTTTGTGAATTGCAATGTTTTTCTCCAGCATGCCATCATTTACAACAAAACAAGTAAAATGCTATTACTGTAGTCTCTCTCTCCAGTGAAATAGTAGTCAGCCATACGGCAAGTCTGGTCTCAGCCTCCCAAGTACAGATGTTCCATCCTGGCAGCTTTCAGAGGAGGCAGGGCAGCAGTTGTGTGGGCTCTGTGTGAATTCCCTCTCCCCCCTGCACGGTGATTTGGAGCCAGTTGTAGATTTGTCTTCTTGCCAGCAGTGTGGTCGAACAGCAGTGGGGGTAGTGGGTGAGCCATCTACTACACTAGCTCAGCAACCAAGGCAAAGATTTGAACAGCACCAAGTGTTAGCCACACTGGGTCCCTAGAGCATTTAACAATGTATCTAAATCACTGAGAAATTTTGAAAGGAGAAGCTGAATCATCAAGAATGACGGGCAGTCTTACTAAGCAATTGCTGAGAGAAACACCTGAACATTGTGAATGACATTCGGACAGAGAAGGGAAAATTCCTAGTGATGCACTTAAAGTACTCGAGCTGTACATAAGAGATTAAGAACAATGTCCTGGTTGAGGTGAAACGCTGCAAAAAAAAAACAAACGTAGGAAGGAAAGTGGTTCCAGGATGGTGTGACTGAAGATTAAATCGGGTTGTAGTACCACATCCTCCTCAGCCAGTTGGAAGTTCCAACAATCATTGGAATGCCCTCCATCTCAAACCTTCATAATAAAATGAAAAAGGGGTTTCAGAGGAGGATAGTCCTAGGTCAGATTCTACTGATCCCATGGGGCCACCAGAGGATCCACTGACCCACAGGCAAAGCCTAGTGCCCAAAGGTCACATTACAGGCATCACTCAGTAGGTCTCTAATTATGCTCAAAAGCAGTACTGCATCAACTGTGCAAGTTTATCTTCCTTGTTCATCTAAGCAGATATTTGTACTGTAATGTGGCATAGCTCATACAATGAAAGTACAGCCAATTTTACCCTGGTAAAAATGGTATAAAAATCTGTATAGCTATACATTAAACACAGAGGAGAACATCTGCATGCCTGTGAGACATCATTCTTGGAGGGGAATTACAAACACATTTAGAAAGAGAAAAGAAAAACTGAACCAAGAATGAGAAGTCTATTGGACATGAAAGAGAATGTCACTGTCAGCCATTTGCATCACTATCACATTTTTTCCTTTGATGATACCTTCCCTCCATCAATCCACAGCCCACGCTGTACTCCTCGGGCTCATTTTTTTTATGGACAGTCCAGTTTTTGCTACAAATGCACTAATGCGGCTACATATAATTTTTTTAATTTATTTTTTGCTTTAAAACAGGTCATAATTTCCTTGCAATAAGGCAACCAGGAGCATGTGGTACACTGCTTTTATACATCACCCCTAAAAAAAATAAAAAAATCTATATGGCTCACTGCAAACCTTGAAGTCAAATAACATGCATGTCGTGCCACACAAGTTTAATTTTTAGTGAAATAATTACTAGAAGTCCTGCATACCTGATCCCAACGCTGTTCCTATAAACAATACTATTACATACTGTATATTGTAAGCACTGTATAGTGAGAACATATACGCACACGAATCACCACCACCACCTCTGTGAAGCCTACCTTTCCATCACAGTTAATATCAGTTGCATATGTAGGTGGTTTTCCGGGACTTTTATACAAAATAAAGTTCTGACTGGGAGGTAGAAAAAAGAATTAAATATTTTGTGTTATTCAAAACAATCCAATCATCATTAATATGATCAAAAGCTATGAAATTAGAGTATATAAACTTATTCCATGAGTTACGTTTAACCTCATTCTTTTATTAAACCTTATATTAACTAATTGTTTTAGTTTGACCTTCTATTATTGGTCCTTCAATGCTTAAAAGGGTAGGCAAGTAAAATATAAAATCACCACAAAACACTTTGCTGGTGGCAACAATGCTTACTTTACATACGTGCAAATAAAGTAAAATATATTTCACTATTTGGCAACCTAAATAGCAGCTCATAAAAACACAGATATACAATACCACTTACAGTACAGGTATAACAAAGCAGATATACAACATTTCCTAGTATTGCATCAGTAATTGGCTCCTTTTGTATTTGTCCTCCTCAAAACATTCTGCCCACATCTCAGGACAGTCAAGAATGGGGTAGTCAAAGTCCACGCCTATTTCATAATGCATATGCTCCCCAAATGCCATACTTTCAGATATCCAATGTAATTTCATCCCAGTCTTGAGTTCATAGAAGAATGTGTCATTGATTGTTTTACGTAGGTAAGAGGGCAGCCTTCATTGGACTTCTGTGTGCCTACAATGTCTCTGCTTTCCATCATTTCCCTCTTTCACCTATTCTTAAAGGAGTTAAATTGGTGCAGACAACCATGGCAGCACTATCTGCTTCAATTAGCAGCCCGGTCAGGGCACCAAAACACCCATCAGGAGATGCATCACATTTAGAGAGCAAACAGATGATGTATTTGATAAAATACCCTAGAACAGGGGTAAGCAACTTTGGAATTACAACTGTTGTGGAACTACATGTCCCATGAGGGCTTGCAAGACTGACAGCCACAGACATCGCTCTCAGAGGCTTGATGGGATTGTAGTCTCAACACATCTTGAGTGCGGAGGTTGCCGACCCCTGCCCTAGATATACAAGATGTTACTCCTCAAATATACTTCAACAAAACAGTTTTTAAAAGAGCTCTTTCCTCATCACCTTAATGTTTAGTAGAGATTGAGAATTGCCTTGGGGCTGACACGAACAACTCCTGGAACATCAAGGACACTTGAAACTGCACCACCAAAAATTACATTTTATGGGGTTGCCTAGCAAAATAGATTGCTGGGGAAGGTTTGTAATGTCTAATGAACTACTCCAACCAGTTGCACCAATCCTTTGTGGTTTATACATTTAAACAGCAGCCAATTATTGCTATGAGGTTTTTTTCCCTGTGACCCAAACGGAGGTTTCCCTCAACTCCTGGACCTGTGACACCAGCACAAGAAAGGTCACCACCAGGACAGGATGGCATAGATTGCAATAAAAACAATGTAACCCTTTCCTCTAAACTAAAAATGTGTTTTTGCCCATTAGAGCAATTTCTTATCACTTATGCAGACAGTGTGTGGGGGGATATATGACTGGCATTATCAGCAAGGGTGCAGGAGCCTTTCAACAAAGGTGGAGCAGAGCATTTTAGCCCAGAAGCAAATCTGACAGAAGTGGTGACATTTTTATTAGCAATTTCTACAAGATTTGAAATGTAGAAGTGACAGAATAGAGCAAGGCTGCCGACCAGCATTTTGCATTAAAAATATTAAACAAGCAAAATTGTTGGCGGTAGGATCAAAAGCTAGCTAAAAGTAGTTGACACGTTCAGAAAACCGATATTGTATGGATAGCATTAGAGTTCTCCATTTCCGTTTGGCTACTCACTTAAAGATCAATGAAAGGGCAGTTATTTCAAGCTGACCAGCACTTTCCTAAAAAAACAAAAAGACAAAATAAAAATGGACATTGAAAACGCAACAAACGGAAAAAAAAATAGAGAAATTTGTATGCAATTAGATGGAGAGACATTAGGGGATATTTTCTGATCAGTCTCCGGTAGAGCAAGCAAGCATTTCCTTAGCACAAACTGTACAAACCATTATTCGCACAAATAGCAAATCCATCTGTGTGAAATGACCTACAGTCAGCATTATGCATTACCTTTGGATCTTCTAACCGCTGAAGGTATTTTTCAAAAGGACCTTCCACATACTAGAAACAAATAAAACAAAAAAGATTAGATGAGGGATCTCATAAAATGTGTAATACCGTCTGGAAATGTTCTCCCTTAAAATGCTACACTGATTTTACAGCCACAGTGGCTTAAGGAGCACGAATCACTGTCCCCCAGTGCGGTCAGCAGCCTAAGGACGTGATATACATCAAGGAAGTTGTACACTACTTCTTTACTAGGCCACGATATCTCTCTGCAGTCTTAATATATGGATCCACCTGGTGGACAATGGAGCTCACTCACCTAAGAAAATCTAGTAAAAGAAGATTTTCCATTGCGCCACACATGCATGGATATAGAATAGACATTACAGTCTAGTTTACTTTTTCTTAATAGCAACAAAACAGTTGACATGAAAATGTATTAATTCTTTAGCAGGTTAAAAATTAAATTTAAAGTCACCGATAACTCACAGAGTCAAATAGCTTTTCATTCTTCCTCATAAAAGCTACACATAATTTACGAATCTCATGGTGGTGAATCTGGCAGTAGAAGAGCTGAAAATAAAAAGATGATAAACACACAAGTAGATATAATTGGATACAAACATATTCAATATGTGCATCATGCGCTCTTTATTTGCAAGTGAAGTTTTGTGAAATTTGCAAGTCAGAATTAAAGTAAATCTGTAGTCTCAATTTAAATTGTGACCACAGCCTCAGAGTAGGCAATTTCAGGCCTAACCCTCTCACTGCCTGTACATTCCTAAAGACAAATTAGACCACATTTGCTGGCCAACAAAACGGCATGGGGCTGGCTAAAACTAACACATATTTAACTAGGTGGCCCGATTTTTGGGGCTTGCTTACACCATGTTCGTTGAACTACCCTTTTGAGCAAACCACTGCAAATACAGTATATGGTGCGAACGGGGTACATGGAAAATAACTTGTCTCATTTGCCCTGTTCACACAATAAATGTGCGGTGGTATGCAGAAAAACGCAGTTCAAAGGACATGGTGTGAACAAGTCCTTAGAGCCACTGCCACTTCAGGGTCATTTCAAGTGTGCTTGCACTATTACCTGGGGAGGGCCAATGATGGGAATGAGGGGGGAAAAACAAAAACTATAGAAAAACAGTTACATGTACCAGAAACTCTGTCCTATCCTCTAGAACAGTGGTTCTCAACCTGTGTAACCTCAGAACCCACATTTGTCCTTGGTCATTAAGTCATGACCCAAGTTGCACTGCAATGGAACGCACAGCATTGAGGTACTGCGCGTTCCGATGCGGGCAAAAGAATTGTGGGTGGGAGGTGCATTAGGAGGAGTTGGATACCTCCAGGTACACCTGCATGTAATTTATCGACTTCATCAATATGCTCACACTTGGAGACTCGGATACATAGAGTTAGGACCACACTTTGCAGAGGTGCCTTGGCGCGGCAGTGGGGCTTCTACATATTTTTGGCCAAAAGTTTGTGCAACTCTAAAACCTCTGATTTTAACGCATACTGTTGACAGGGCTATTTGTTTGGTTGCAGGCTGGCTGGCAGGTTGAGGCTGGGGAATTTTTGTGTTTTGTATTGTTGTAAGCCTTCCCAATGTGCGCCCTGCTATAAAGGCTGGTTATAGATTCATGCATTCACTCATGTACCATCCTTTCTAGTTGGGCTAGGGCCGCGAGGGAGCTCCATCTATACATGTATTGCTTACACCTCACTTGCATGTCCTGTAGAGGTGCCTGCACTGGAGTGACATCACATTCTGGCTCTTGGCACCTCTACAGGGAAGGTAAGGGAGCTGTAGAAGCAATGCAAATATGGATGGAGCTCCGTCACAGCACAGCAGCCCACACTGGACCCCCAGACTGAGGATTCACTCCTGTTCCCGTAAGGTAGGGAGACGGGGTGGATCTTGAAAGAAAAAAAAAAGTCAAAACATTATTTTGGAGTGTGTATGTGTGGTTGAGTCTGTGGTTGTGTGTCTGTCAGTGTTTTTGGAGGGCCAGTTCACACTTGTGCTGTGCCTTAATCGAACAGCCGTTTGATTATTGCACTGTACCACGCAACCTTGCACAACCACCTCCCTCCCGCAGTTCAATTGCACACACCGGTATGCACAGTACAGCAATACCATGCGTTCCATTGCAGCGCGACTTGGGTCACGACTTAATGGCCAAGGACAAATGTGGGTCTGGGGGTTACACAGGTTGAGAATCACTGCTCTAGAAAGATAGAGACCCACTACATCCTGCAGACCACTCCTGGGTGTATATATTTATAGCCCTGAATAGCAACCATACCATAAATTCCGTAACCAGTAGTTTCGGACCAAATAAAAGGTAACAATGCACTCTGCTCATCAGTTTTAATCAGAATCTTTATTGCTTACATACTTTTAAGGGCAGGTTCACACCATTTTCCAGACCAGATCTGGAACGCAGTGCATTGCGTTTTGACGCGATTGGAAATTTGTATTTTGTTTTAGCTTAAAATGGTTTTACAGGTGCGTTCTAGTGGGTTCCAGTGCATTCCAGACCAGGCAAAATAAGACAGTATTTTTATGGTCTGGTACAGACTGCGCTGGTGTGAACAGAGACCAGAAATAGCATAGGGATACATTAAGATGCATTTTGGGTCCGGAGATGATCCGGACATGGTGTGAATGGGCCCTCAAGCCTGGTTATTTCAGGTTAGTGATAAAAATAGGGCATATGTTCAGAACGCTATGCTTTCTAAAGAGATGAAGAGTGTAAGGTGTGTTCTAGCAAAAAACACCACACCTACCACTAGAGAAATTATATGGAATAACATATACATATACAGTTGCTGTAAGCTAAAGTTATGTTCATTTACATTTGACAGACATTACACTGAAAACTGTACATTATTACAGGATATTAGGAAGATACAGGATGGCAAGAACGCCTTGACCTAAAAACAAATTAATGCTCAATCAATATGTCTTTATACACGTTACATAATTTTGATTTGAGCGTGAAAATCCTAACAAATGTAGGGTCTGCATTTTCCTCCTGTATTGATAGTTTTGGTATAAAATATTGAGCTGGCTGAAGTCAGGGGGTATGGTGATGGGATAGTATGTGTGCAGACATGGAGGGGAGAGTGCGGGTGGGTTAGTTTTAGAGAATAAAGGGAAGGATGGGGGTCAGCTGTCATGGTGGTGGGGGCAGGGCCGTAGCTACCTTGGGGCGAGTGAGGCACTTGCCTAGGGTGCAGCTCAGAGGGGGTGCAGCCAGGGCCTGCCTGGCCCCCTCATTCCTGTTGCCATGGCGAGCACAGGACGCCATGGCAACAGGGGAGTCACGGCGAGCACAGGACGCCATGGCAACAGGGGAGTCAGGTGGCCAACACAGCTACGGCCCGGCAGGAAGAAGAGTGACAACACCGGCTCCATCTTCTCCTTGGATCCCCGCTGCTCCCCCCGCCTGTGTGGGCAGAGGGAGGAG